GATGTGATTTAAGGGCTCGACTAAGTTCGTATGGTGTTTTAGGACTTGTTGGTATGTTTAGTTGGAGTCCCGGGGGCCTCGGGTGGTTAATGGACTAGTTTTTGGACTTGAAAGAGTGTAGAATTTACTGGTGTTTTCAGTTACTGGTTTTCTCTTATGCGATCCGTAGAGGTAGACGCGATCACGACGCTTTGAATTAGATAGTCCCCTTTTTGTTTTATGCGATCGCAAGAGCAAGAACGCGATCGCGAAGTTTTCTTGACCATTGATACGCGAACTCATAGTCCATTCCGCGTTCGCAATGTAGAAGAGAGGAGACTGGGCAATGAGAGGATTTACTCTACGCGGTCACGTGGAGTGTTACACGATCACATAGGTCAGCTTGGCAGTGGTACGTGTTAGCGAGCAGGTATTCGCGTTCGCGTAGTATGTTTTTTTTAAACGGTTGGAATTTCATTCTACGCAATCGCATGAGTTGTTCCGCGATCGCGTAGCGTGAGCACCTGGGAAGAATATAAGATTTCAAAAATGAGGGTTTGGCCATATTGGCAAAACTTGAGTTTGGGAGCTCGGATTTGGACGAGATTTTGAGGAATTTTCAGAGATATCAATTGGTTAATGATTCTTAACTTGTTTTTGGTTATATCCCACTAATCTATCATTAATTTTATCATTTAATTTCGGATTTGTGGTGGAAAATTTGAGAAAAGTTCTTAGGGCGAATTTTGGGGTTTTGATCGAGATTTTGGTATCGGATTTGAAATTTTTTGGTTAGAGTGAACTCGTGAGTGAATGGGTGTTCGTAATTTATGACTTTTACCCAATTACAAGGCGTGGTCCCAGGGAGGCTTTTTGAGCGGTTTTTCTAATTTCTTGCTTTAGCTTTGATTTCATTATCTAGATTAGTTCCTTGTAGTTATATTTATGTTATGTAATTGATGTTGGCTAGATTTGGGCCATTCGGAGTCAAAATATTCCTGAGAAGAGAATTGTTACGGACTGATTTGAGCTTGGTTCGAGGTAAGTGGCTTGCCTAACCTTGTGTAAGGGAACTCCCATTAGGATTTTGTATTGTTTTTGATATGTGGGCGCCGTGTACGTGAGGTGACGAGTACGTACACGGGCTATTTGTTGTAAAACTCTGTTTTTGACTAAGTAATAACCTGTTTCTCCTTATTTGAGCTACACTAGCATATGTAACTATCCTGTTTAGTTTAGAATAACATGCCTACGTGCCTTAGCTGCCTATCTGAACTCTGTGCATCATGTTTAGTGAAATTCATGTTTTTCCTTGACTCGAACTTAGTCTAAATTGTAGGTTTTTCTTGCTGTAACTATTATTTCTGTTGGTAGAGCTGCCTATTTACTTTGGGACTACGGAACAGTATTCTAGGAGATCCCCCTGCACTGCATATTTACTTTGGGACTACGGAACGGTATTTCGGGAGATCCTTCTGTCTTGCATATTTACTTTGGGACTAAGGAACGGTATTCCGGGAGATCCCCATGCACATTTACATTTGGACTACGGGACGGTATCCTGAGAGATCCCCTGTTGTTATCTATGCGTTTTGAGCTATTGCCTTTCTATGATTACATTCTTGTTAAATTTTAGTATCTTTTTTTTACTGCGATATTTCATTCTGTCTTATTTTATTATATATATATATACCAGTAGGGCCCTGACTTGATCTCGTCACTACTCGACCGAGGTTATGCTTGGCACTTACAGGGTACCGTTGTTATGTACTCATGCCCTTCTCTGCACATGTTTTTCGTGTGCAGATCCAGGTACCGCTTATCAGCCGCATTATCAGTGAGGCGAGACAGCTTTAGAGACTTCAAGGTATATCTTCCGCGTCCGCAGACCTCGGAGTCCCTTTCTACTCTTCCCCATATCAAGCACTTCTTGTATTTCCTTTTGTTAGACTCTGGAGAATAGAAATACTATTTTCTTTCTGTAGTTAGTGACTTACGATGTTTCGAGTTTTGGGAGAGTTTATGTACATTGCAAGAGTGATTGTTGTATATGCCGAGTGGCATCTTAATTTGTTATTAAAATTTTGTTGTTAGTTGTTAGCTTTTGTGTTTTCATTTCTTTTTCCGCAAATGTTAGGCTTACCTAGTCGTAGGGACTAGGTGCCGTCACAACGGGGAGAGCTTGGATCGTGATAAATATATAGTGTACTTAATTGTGCATACTTAAAAGCATGTGTCATAAATCAAAGACATGAAAGTGACAAGTGCTTAAAAGGCTCGAAAAGAAATTTTTCTCTTCGTATGTGGGAACAATCCACACTTCCCAATTTCAAAATAACAAACTATCTTACATTAACTTACAATTTTTTCTGGTAAAGTTGTTAATTTAACTTCTGTCATATTATTACAAAAAAAAAAAAAACAAAATTCTGTCACTTAACATTCTTAACATTGCTCAGAAAAATCAAACTCATCAGAAGCCGATGAAAATCAAAATGGTCGAAAACCTCATCAGAAGTTGACGAAATACCTAATAAGCATGTTGATTAATTAATAAAAATGCCAACACGTATATAGCAAGCTAGTGTTAGCTTTATAATACCCACTTCAAATTCTATACATTGTCTGTTAGTTTTATATGGGGGTATGCATGTGTATATTAACTATGAATCCAATAATAATGCTCAAACTTATCAGTAAACATGCGCTTGGTAATATTGCTCATTATCAACATATCATTTAAATATAACTAAATAATGACTATAGACACAAAGGAGGTTCTATGAATGCAATGGCAAGAATGGCTTGATACGCATGAGTGATGCCCATTTGAGTCGGATGTGCTGGCTATAGGTGAAATCTCCGATTAATTGAATCTTTCACCTCGAGTATTCGGCTGTAGACATTCAACTTTTATTGAATTTAAATTCATAAATAATTTAAATTATGGCATAAATTTAATTCATATTAATCTATATTATGGGCTAATATAATTAAATTGATTGTTAAAGGGATTTTTTCCTTCTTATACAATATTTGAAACTTATTTATCAAAATTGTCCTAGTTTTGTATATTACCCGCCCTAAATAAGGATTACTTACAAATGAGCTTCTAGATGGGCTTCAATTTTTAAATCCACTTCGTTAGCTCAAACTCCATGCTAGGTATTAAATGACATTGTGCCCCCAAGTCAAATCAAAAGCCAACAAAATCATGCCACATGAGCGAGTCATGCCAAGTCAATATAAAAATCAATCAAATGCTGCCAAGTATCTGAATGATATGGTTCAACCAATCAAATGTAGTCTTATCACATAATATGATAGGTTTGATTACTAAAGTGAGTAAAGAAAAAAGAGCATGTATTCATTAACTTTTTTCCTTTATAACTATAAACACGGATCTTCATAAGATAAAAAAGTGTTAGAAGAAAATAAAAAATACATACATCAAGAAGTCTTCTTATCCATTGGTGATCCACAAGTTATTGTATGTTAAGAAGCTTTCCTCTCCGGTGGTGATCGATAAGTGTCACGTATATCAAGAAGCATTCCTCTCTAGTGGTGATCCGTAAATCTTTCTTATATCAAGAAGCCTTCCCCTCATGTGATGATCAGAGCTACCTCCACGTCCGTAGTCAAAGTTAAGCTTCACGTTCGTGATAAAAATTCAAGCAACAAACTTAATCCAACAAATAAAGAGCAAGCCATTAAGCACTTGAGCTGATAGTCGTGAGGAAAAGAATAGAAGAAATATAGTTTTAGTGAATTTTTAATTTCTTTCAACATTTAATTTAGACTTCAATTAGCCAAAAAAGGAAGAAAAAAAAAAGAAAAAGAGAGAGAAAAACAGAAAATGCCGAAAGAAGCGACAAACCGAAACAAAGTTAGTGAAACTCTACTATAAAGTATAAAGTAACTAAACAATGAGTATAGATAAATAATATAGTTTTTATTTGCAGAAATTAAAATTTTAAAAAATAAAAACTTTAAATATTTTGTTTTTCAACTTCTAAACTTGACAAGAAGTTTGAGAACCACGACATCTATCAAAATAAGTGCTTGACCCATTGAACTGAAAGTCGTTAGAAGAAAAATATGGTAAAAATTGCACGACCCCTTTTTAACCTGTAGCCGCTTTGTCTTTTTGTTTGCATCCGTACCCATTTTTTAAAAAACTTCAGCTTCCCTTTATAACTGGGATTTTCGGGTTACTAAACAAAAACTTCAGCTCTAGAGCTGAAGTTTCCGGGTTACTAAACAAAAACTTCAGCACTAAAGCTTAAGTTTTTATTTTATAACTGGCAAACTTCAGCTCTAGAGCTGAAGTTTCCCGGTTACTAAACAAAAACTTATAAAATAAAACTTCAGCTCTAGAGCTGAAGTTTTTATTTTATAACTGGCAAACTTCGACGAGTTTAAAAAAAAAAACTTCAGCTCTAGAGCTGAACTTCAGGCCCGGCTACTAAAATGCTGAAGTTTTGTGTAATTGCCTTTGCTACTTCAGCCCCGTGTGCTGAAGTTATGTGAAAAAGCGGGTACGCTTGCAATTTTTTTGCAAAGCGGGCACAGATTAAAATGTGGCACAAAAAGCGAGTATAGATGCAAATGCCCCAAGAATATGAGAGATACAAGTGTATTCAATTTTTTCCAACATCGGCTTCAATTAGCCAAAAAAGAAAAAAAGAAGAAGAGAGAGAAAGACATGAAACTCTGAAAGAAGCAAACTTAAACAAAATTGTAAAACTTTACCATAAAGTAATTAAACAAGGAGTATATACAATTTTTATTTTCATAAACTGAAATTTGGAAGAATAAAAAACTTTATCTTTTTTTTTTTCTTCCGATCTATCAAAACAAGTTTAAAAAAGTCACAACGCAGGAAAGGGGCATTCCGAGAATTGAACTCGGGACCTCTCGCACCCTAAGCGAGAATCATACCACTAGACCAAATGCCCTTTTGTTTACTGTTCTGTTTGAAATCTTATTTAAAGAATCTTTAGTAAGTTAAACCCCAGAACACCTAGCAACCAAAGCTCAAAACCCTCATAAGAAGGGGTTTAAGATCCCCAGTAGTTGTGAATCAAAAACTAAAGCTGTAAAAACAATGGCGAGAGGAGCACTTCTTCATTTGGTTCGGTCTCAAGCTCCCCATCTCAAGTCCAGGCACTTGCACTCAGGTTATTTTCTTCCTCCTCTTTCATTTCTGTATTGTTTGCCCCTTTCATTAACTTTTCTCTCGTGTATATGCGATGACCTAGTTTGTCGCTTAGATATGAAATGAGCACTTCTATGTTTTTCTGATCTATGAATGTACACTCACTTACTTATTTGTCCAGTTTTTTTCCGGAGCTTTTAACTATCATTCGATGACGTTATTCCTAAATATATTTTTTTGAGGTGAAATGATTTTGTGAAAGAAGAAAAAATAGTTAATTGAGGTGAAACTTGAAGTACTTATCAAATCTGTCAGAAGAACTACAAACCCTAATACTATCTTTTGTGCCTTTACAGTATCAAAACATACTGTAATTAAACTAATCACGAGGATGTCATAAATGAGCAATGCAAACACAAATTGGCGCTTTTCTTATACACAAGATTTTCATTAAGAGACAAGCATACATCATATCCATGGGCCATGACTTCATATAGATTTCCTGGATAACTTGTTATAAGACATATTTGAGGAGGAATGATATAGAAAGCCATGAGAGGATATAATAAGGATTGATGAGCATGTTATTCGGTTTTCGCCTTCCCCAATACATAGAGCTTCCTTTTATGGGTAAATGGATGACTATCTTACGACATATATTAACATCTGCTTTCCTTGTACTAAGCAGAAGAGAAATTCTTCACATGCCTGTAGGAAGCACTACTTTAAAGATACTGTACTCTTTGGACCATATGATTCGCACTAGTAGTCCTCAACAAGCACCTCTGGACAAATCCATAGAAATGGTCTATACTGTTAATTAAGGACTAGCAGTCAAAGTTCCGGGATTCACTTGTAGAGTTCTGATGTAGAGAATAGCTAAAACTTTCTTAGTGAGATGTGTCTGGTCAATCCATCCAATAGCACATTCCCAAGGGTGTGGCTTTTCATATTTTTTTTGTTCATCTTGGTTTTCTTCTATTCTTGACCAATTAGCTTTTGGTTCTGCTGGTTCAGGAGCACTTTTCTCCAGTTTGACTTGCAATGGATCTTGTGAGTCTTGGATTAGTTCAGCATTATGTTTAATGGCTGTTTATTCAGCAAATCTGCTTCTGTCCGATCACTATTTAGAAGTTCGTTACCCAAGAGTAAATATTCTCTTACTCTGTTAAATATTATTAGAGCCTCGAAGCAAGTCTTGCAATGCGCACTCAGAACTGCAAGACAGCGAAGGTACCATAGTTCTTCTTCTGGGACTTTTTGGTCAGGTCATAGATATATGATATTCTAGCAAGAGTTATAAATAGAGAGAATTTTTCTGGATTGACTTTTCTTTTCTTTAGAAATGTGGATTGGTAAACAAAAAAGAGATCTTTGGCCTACTTTTGATGTCCTTTGGAGTCCAAAAGGATTTAGAATATGGTGGTTGGTTAAGAAAGAATGGAGAAGATGACGTAAGATAATCGGTATAGACAGTGTTGTTAAAAGCCTGCTTAAGACCTGAAACTCGGTGCTGCAGGATAAGGGCCTCACATTAAGGCTTTACATCACGTAGTTGACGTTTCAATATAAGCATTAACGTATTAAGGTGTGCGCCCCTCACTGCCTATGGGTTCTGTCATAGGAACTCAGTAGGCTTTCGTGGGGATTAATTATCTCCAGTTATAAGTTTGTATACTTCACTGTGTCAAGATGTTCAAAGCTATCCTGGAGCAAAGCTCTGGCCCAGGGCCGCCCCAGGTAACATAAAGTACTCTGTTTCATGTTGGAAGCAAGTTTTAACAGATTTCAAAGGCTTTGCATTCATGAGTAAGCTAGACCTGGGAAGCCTAGATCCAATAAGAAAATGGGCATCATTTATTGCTCTCCCCCCCACCTACCCCCCCCCCACCCCCCCCCCCCCCCTAAAAAAAAAGCATTTTATGAATAAAGGGCAGTGAAACATCTGGGTTCAAAGTATTGACTAGCTGTTTCCGTGTTATTAAAAGCCATTGTTTCGTTGTCTAAAGCAGCACATTTATGTGAAGTGAGGGTTCTCCCTTCATAGGCGAAGTGATGCGATCCCGACGAGAAGCCGTGGTTCTTTCGATGCCACTTTAAAAGATGAAAAAAAATGAGGAAAAGGAAAGAAAAAGGGTCTGTTTACTGTTCAAGTATTAGGGCTGTTCTTCATATGCGCTTCAACTTTCTCTTTGTTGTCCATGTCGTTTCTTCTTTTCGAATTTGTAGTGCTTCTTTTTCTACTAATTTTGTTTCTTGTCTACTTTCTGATTTACTTATTTCTTCTTTTTCTTCAAATATTGGCTCTTTCTTCTTCTTTTAGTGTGTGAGTCTCTTCTCTTCCATTTCTGAATCTGGGTTTCTCTTTTCTATTCACTTCTACTCTCTTGGTGTAGTAGTTAAAACAATCAAATATGAAACTAAACGCTGCAAATGAATTCTTTTTCGCACTTGATTACTTGAAAATGTATAAATTAATTTAACGGTTGAAGTTATCTTTCAATGGCTTATTGAAATCAAGACTATTGGGCCTCAGACAAAAGCTCGCCTCAAACAAAAGCATGGTGTTTAAGTGGAGAATGGTAGAGCAACGGACCTATCATCCACCGAGTTTCGAAGCGTATCCCATTGACCCTCATGGATTTCTCGGTTACCCAAAATTTAAAAAAGAAATCAGATCTAATATGTTTAATTCTAGTTGTTGGATCGATATTGTTATCGACGTATACCGTGTGCTTAAATTAGTAATGTTAAATGCAATTTGATGTTTTAAGTACTAGGTTCATATATTTCAGGTAATTTTCCTTTCACCTTTTGCTTTTCACTTTAATTCCGTCAAAAGTATGTTGCTTTTTTGTGCTTTCTCTTGAAAAAGTAAAACTGCACATATCTGTTTCAAATTCATGGAGAAACCTCCTTTGTTGTTCTGCTTTGTATAATTGCTTCATAAACCACTCTGGTTTAATACATAGAAGTTAACATGCACAGAAGTTGCAAAAGAGTCCTGTTGCCCTAGAAGGTTCCTCTTACTCTGGGAGCACACACACAAGTGATAGGTAGAGCAGTAGAAGTTTTTGAATTTCTTGGGGTGGGGGTGGGAGGTGCATTACTAGTGACCTTATGCACGATAGAGCGCCTCCACAGAGTGAAATTTCATCTTACATGTATCGCCCCATACATGCCTTCTAGGGCATTTTCCTTGTTATTTCTATTATTTAAATCCCCGGTGTTACATCAAGAACCAGAGTTAACAACAAAGGAAATACCAAGCTTCTTTGAAGAGGTCTCCAAAGCTGTAAAACAGCAATACCATATTGATGAACTCATACTTAGATTTATTCTCTTCCATATAATCTATGGCATATGTGTTTTAGACGACGAGAGTTTTCTGTGTGTTTTCTGCATTACTTTAAAATACTAAGAGAAGTGTATGGTGTTAATCTGCTGCAAATGAGCTCGTATGTGACATCCTTTTAGAAAAAAAGGAACCAATTTTTGGAGATTGACAACATTTTGGAACATGTTTAGAAGGAAAGAGTTACAAAAGATGTCGAACAGTGTAGTTTACCCCCTTTTCGCCTTCAATTTTAGTTACTCTTTTTTCCAGTTGCTAAGTCTTTCTTAACTAGTCTAACTGCATCTTTTATGTGACTAATAGCCCGTTTGGCCAAGCTGCAAAAATCAGCTTATTTTGAGAAGTGTTTTTTTTAAAAGTGCTTTTCTCAAAAGTACTTTTGGTGAGAAGCAGTTTGTGTTTGGCTAATTAGTTTGAAAAGCACTTCTGAGCAACAATTAGTGTTTGGCCAAGCTTTAAAAAACTGCTTTTAAGTGTATTTTTCTCAAAAGTGCTTTTGGAGAGAAACTACTTTTTTCTGCTTCTCCTCAAAAGCACTTTTTTTCCTTCCAAAAGCTTGGCCAAACGCCTCAATTTTTGGCCAAAAGTGCTTTTGGCCAAAAAAAGTGCTTTTGGCCAAAAAGAAGCTTGCCAAAAGCACTTTTGGCCAAAAAGAAGCTTGGCCAAACAGGCTATAATTCCTGATGATTATACTATATCTGCTGCTTCCTGACGCAAATGACCTTTTCAGCTTGTCGATTGGGCAGACCTGGAATCTTGTCACAGGTCTATGGTGCTAGAACTGAAACTAGTTATGTGACACAGCCAGCTGCGGTCCATAAAAGATGGCTAGCTGAATCCTCTGCATCACAAGGAGACAGCAAGATCAGTATTGGTCCTCGTAAAGGGGTAGAAGATGGGAATGATGAAAAGGACTCTGGTATTGTCTACTATGGTCCCATCTCAAGCACTATCAAGAAAGTGAAGCTTCTTTCCCTTTCAACCTGTTGCCTCTCTGTATCTTTAGGTCCTGTCATTACTTTCATGACATCTCCTGACATGAACGTGATACTGAAGGGTGCTGTTGCATCTTCTGTTATATTTATAAGTGCAACTACTACTGCTGTCCTTCACTGGTTTGTAAGCCCTTACATTCACAAACTCAAGTGGAAGCCAGGTTCAGATACCTTTGAAGTGGAGATGATGTCTTGGTTGGCAACTTTTATTCCCAAGACCATTAAGTTTGCAGATATCAAGCCACCTCAGACAAACAGACCCTTCGTGACATTCAAAGCCGATGGAAACTTCTATTTCGTTGATACTGAGCATTGTCACAATAAAGCACTGTTGGCAAAGTTGACACCACAGAAACCGTCTTATGAATCAGCTTTCAAGAACTTGTGATGGAAATTTCCTTGCGGGAATAATTTGAAGTTTAGCTTGTTAAAGGTATTGTATAACATTTTGGATGAGCAATGTCAATGCTTGGATATGTAACCAGTTTTCTGCTCTTCTTTCGTATTTCTTTTTTGGTAGTGCTAGAAAAGAGGGGAAAAGAGAGGGCGGGTGAAGCGTGGTGAATCCACACATTCTGTTTGAAACATCAAATAATTTATTCAAAGATATATGCCTTGCCAGAATGCAGAATGTATTTAGATAATTAACCGTGATGTATTTCTGCCAGTAGCTGCTGGCTGATTCACGAACTCTCTGTCAAAACGCTCTCAGGGAAAAGTAACATCAAAGTCATTTCAATTCTGCTGCTTTTCACCAACTTGTGCAGAAAGCGCATTTTGTGAATAACAATTACTGTACTTGTAAGTAAAGGGATCGTCCCCTATCATAGTTGTTGATTTGCTGAAGGCATCCAAATACAAATCTATTACAAATTCACCAAATTTCCCCCTCAAAGGAAGGTCATGATTCAGTAGAATCCTCAAATGTACTCGTTAAAATTTACTCTCAAACAAGAGTGAAACATGTCAACAAATAGCTAATAGGTGTTTTAATTTTTGTTCTACATCCCCTCTCAAGTGGGTTCTTATCTCAAGTTTGGTATATATACAGCAAGATTACTCCAACGTGCTATCACAAACTTGGTGTAATGGTTTCTATATACAGGGCTTAAGACAAAAGAAAAAGTAAAAAATCTGCCAATATGACTAAAATGCTAATTCTAGAAGGTCGATTAGCTGCATCTACTCTCTTTGATAAGTCATAGCCATCCCAAATGCACAGGCTCCATTTTTCAAATGCAGGGGACCTACCTAGATATTTATTTCCCCAAAATTTAACTAGGGAAAATCACAACTAACATACATGATGTTTAACCTAAAATTTGGTTGTTAGGCTAAGGTAATTACACTTGTAAATTAGGCCACAAGAAGTCAGTTCATTTCAAACAAATAGATATTTGTTAATTGGAAATAAATAAATTAAGCAAATAATTGAAAATGAGAATAATATGAAACCAATAAAAGAGTAAGAGCTTCTTATTAATATTCTTTCGCAAGATGGATTCGATCGAGCATAGACTTTTGAGATAGAATGTATTTTTCAGAAATAATATTAGCATGAGTATGAAGATTTTAATTTGGTACAAGGAGGGGGGGGGTTGGGGGGGGGGGAGGGTAAGGAGTATTTATAGTACTTCAAAGATCATGCCTCATCCCTTATGAATATGGCCGGCCCATTCCGTTCGTTACGCTTGGTCGATTTGTTACTGTTCAAGAGTTAATGCCGAATCTTAGGTATTTTGAAACTCATTGCTGAGATAACTGTGTCTGACTTGGAGTTGGCTAATCATCATTCGCATGTGTCAATTCATGTGTGGTCCACGTGGCAATCGATTTGGCAACAAAGTGGCATGCAATAGATTCTTAGAAACGTGAATTATGATAAGATTTTGGCAACAAAAATACCACATGATTTTGTGTGTGTGTGACTTGCTCTTGGATTAGAAAATCTACAATATAGAAGAGCTCAGATAGTTCGATAATTGGAACTGTTTACCCTTAAAATCGGATAACAATTGAATTTGTAAGTGGTTTTAAGTATACGTGGATTAAATTAATACAAAACGATAAATTAAATTGCAATTGAAATAAAGTATGATAAGGTAAATTCAAACCACACGAATTGAACAGTTACAACCTTGGGAGGTGAGCCACCTTTGAATAAAATGCACTTCGATTAATGTCAAGACACAATTGAATAAGAACTTTAAAGAGAAAGTAATAGCATATTGCTTCTGAATGCGTGCAACAATGTGTTTTACAAGTAATCAGACCCCCTTTATATAGTAGGGGAGTCCTACTTTAGGTACAATTCTGTAAAAGGTAAAAATCTACTGATTTTCCGGTTCCTTATTGATACATGCCGAGATTCCCGCCGTAATACCCGACCGGTCACAGATACTTTGGCCTTCTGTTATTTCGGTCTTCTGTTGGTTATACTGGCAATGTTTCCTCGAGCTCGTTCGGGATCAGGGTCGATTTAGGGATCATGAACTCGATGCTCTCGAGGACGGACATTTTGACCTCGTGTTCTGGTTGGATGGTATTTGGGGTCGATCTTCAATCCACCACGTTCCGAGCCCGATCTGTCATGCAGTAGGCGAGCCCGATTTCGAACGTATACAAATAGTCCCTCGTTTTTCGGAGAGTAAACGATGAGAAATGATATGAGCTTCCGATTCTCACCTTGATACTCCGCATCAGAAACGACAAACTGAACGAAACGTCTCGTTAGTCACGTCTTAATGGCATTAAATGCTAGTCAGTTGCTGGTCGTCCACTCCCGAATTTGAACCGTCGTTTGAAAATTATAAATACCCCCTTCCTTATCCATTCAAACTTTACTTCCAAACTTTCTACCCTTGCTTCTTAGCAATTTCTCTATTTTCTAGCACTTATACTCTGATTTCTCTAGAACATTTGTGAAGAATTTTATTTGTCTCCATCCCAAATCATTAAGCGTACTGCTCTAACTTCCTCTTCTTTTGCTTTCCTCCATCTTTAAAAGAAATGGAGAAAACTTCAAGAACAGTTCGCCAAGAAGAAACTATTTCTACATCACGGTTGGCCGGTGAGGAACCAGCGGTGGAACCTCCTCTTAGCACATTCATTCTTGGAGGGTGCTCGGTGACCGTCGATTTTAAGGTTGAAAAACCATCACCCGTACCGGGCCGGTGTGAGAAGGTCTTGAGGTACATCTGCTCGATTACTGAAGAAATTCTTCCCATGGTAAAAAAGGATTGCAACTGGGTCGACAAAGACGTGGTGGTTCCTGGGCCCGATGAAGATATCACTATACACGTCGAGGGATACTTAAGTGTTTACACTTATCCCTTTACGTTGGGCCCGTTGGACCCGGTAATTATCCATTTCTACAAAAGGTACAAGGTGTGACTTGGCCAAATTCACCCTTCATTTTGGAGAATCGTCATCCTTCTCCAGTTCTTTGTGAGCAAGATCGATGGGTCCTCGTTCACTGTTGACCACCTTATGCGTCTATACAATCCCCAACTCTTTCGGGGGGGGGGGGGGGCTGGCTGATTAAACTCACGCGCCGGGCTAGTAAAGCCCCATTCTTTAGCATCGATAAGGATCATGATCGAGGCTAGGTTGTTTTGTCTGAGTGAGGACCTCGAACCTGATCCGAGTAGATTGTATGCAGTTCCCCAAGAAGTGGAACACAAAACGTAAGTAAAATTCCGTTTTCCCAAAATTTTATTTTACTCTTATTTCCTTATTTTTTTATCGGTGATTGGTGGTGGTGCATCTGTTGCTCGGGTCCCGAATGCAGTCCCTCGACTCAAGGAGTGGGTCGAGGGCATCGTGTCATAAAAACCATATTTCGAGCGCGCATGGCGTGAACTCTCGAAGGGCCGATGGGAGGCCCGTTCTCACGGTGAGGTTCCTTTCCTGAGTGAACAACACTTGGTTTTCTTTTGTGTCACTCGTTTCGTTTCCCTTTGCAGGTCTTTCCAAGGATGTCGCAATGAGGCCTCCATCCGATGATGAGGACGGCCTCGCCGAGTCCCCTGCTCCGAGACAAGGTGATAAGAAGAAAGAAATAGGGCTCTGAGTTCTCCGAGCTTATAGAAGAATAAAACGAAAAGAAAGATGGAGTGCAAGCCTAATGAAGGTACCAGCGCTCGACGCCACCTTCTGATTCACTCTATCGGCTGAGGGACGAATCCGAAGGGGAAGAAGAAGAAGAAGCCTCTGAACTGGTGGCCCGCGTGCGATCACAGTTTGAGGGACGAGGGGCCTCCGGATTAGAGAGAGGCGAGGCCGATCTACCTCGAGCTAGGGAGGCCGACGAGGAGGTCGTGGTCGGGGCCAGTATGGAGACCGTGGTCGAGGCCAATGTGGGGGGGCGTGGTCGAGGTTTCCCAGGATGAGGTTAGAGCCGCGAAGGATGTACTCGGTGTGATAGACATCACCGAGTCACCTTCTTTCACTGAATCTATGATCAACAAGGCTCAGGCAGTGAAACCTTACCCTAATGAGGGGGCCAATGGAGCGGACGTCCCATTCTGCAGCTTTTTCGATTGCGTGGATTCTACCACCACAGAAGACGTCACCGGATTGGGTGACTTAGAGGTGGCGAGGAAGAGTCCATCTTCGGGAACAAGCAGGCCTTTCTCAAGCCTAAAATTAATCAACCGGTTCCCAGATCCAAGCGTGGATCTTGACCGGAATCGATCGATTATTATCTCGATTTCAGAGGATGCCCAAGTCCTTTCTGCCCCCATAGGGGTGGCCAGTTACCTTTGGTGCTTGGTGACCGAGGAGGACCAAGACAAGATGAACGAGGTGGAAGCGCCCTGCCTGTTCAATGAAGCTCAACATGCATTAAACCAGGTAACTTCATATACCTCTTGATGATTTCTAGTTTGTATTTAGATCAATTTGTAGATGATCGTAACTTCTTTCTCTGTGTTTGTAGGCCTCGGTACTTCATCACGAGACTTTTCTACGATACTGGGAAAAGCTGAACCAGTATGAGGACGAGATTCGAGGGCTCACTGAGAAGAGAGATGCTTACAAACTTCTCAGTGAGCAAAGTGAAGGGGAGGCTAAGAGCCTCCGAGCTGAGCTAGAGATGGCTTGGAAGGAGGATGCTGACCTGGTTGAGCAGGTAAGAAGAGTATTTGAGGTTAGTGATGATGAGTCGGAAATGACTAACGGTCCTAACCCGTAGGTCCAACAGAAGCTTGATCAGATCGAGCAGCTCCGGCCAGAGGTGGATGCTGTATAGGCCGAGGCCAAAGAATGGAAAAGAAACATGGAGCGATTGCCCTCGAAAATGGAGACTGCCCGGGCACATTGGCTTCAACTAAGGTCCAGCTTCGAGCTGTAAAGGAAAAGGCCTTGGTGTAGAAAGATCTAGGAGCTCCAGTCTCAGCTAAATTCGGCCGTCTCCGATCGAGAAAATCTGGCCAAGGAGCTTGAGACGACCAAGTCGGAGGCCAAGGTGGTTAAAGTTGATGCCGATGAGATGGTGGCCGTTTACAAGGCTGATGCCGAGGCGGCTCAGGTTCGAGCAAAGGATATCATCGAGTACACGAAGCGAAAATCTCGAAGGGAGGCCCTTGAGGAAATTCATGCTCGGGGTTTCGACCTAACGACTGAGATTGAGAGTGCCAGGGAGCTCGAAGCCGAGGCCAAAAATTGTTCTATCCCGAAGACGATGAAGATTTTGAAGATTTGGGCGAGTCCGAGGGTGGAGGAGACCCCGAAGGTGAT